ATGAATCTCTGGCCAGATCTCTCTGTATAAAAGATTCAGCCAATCTATGTCCCCTTTATGCAGCACAAAGAGATGAGGGTGGGCAGTGCAGTTGTTCATACATATTTAAAATATTTTCTTTTTTTTCCTTAGGGTTGTTTTCACTTTTAGTTTAAAACAGGGTAAAACTGGCTGCCCTAAAGCTAGCTCTTCCTCTATAGAGTTTAGTTTATTCTTGTTGGTTTAAAAACAAGAATCATGAGAAAGATTTGCCAGTGTAGCATTTGCTATGCAACATTTACATGCAGCTGCTTTGAACTAAATTCCCAGCAGAAGTGAAAGGATTTTGAGGCTTCCAGATCTTAGCAGACTACTGTTTTTTTTGCAGACAGAACTCTGTATCATATGTACTTCTCCAGAGAGCCTTCCCAGCCAGCTAGGACTGTACTATCCTTCTGCTACCCCACTGAGACATATTACCAGCTTTTGGGAGGGGATTATTCTGGACCTAGAAAGTTAATCAATTTTGCTTGAAAATGCCTGCCACTGAAGTGACTGATTACTTTTTGGAGGGAAGGAAAAGTCTTGTCTCTATAGTTGAAAACAGCAAAAGCCTGCAAATTTGTATATATTTTTGTGCTTATTTCTCTTCTGTGGGGCAACACTCTTCTCCATACATGGGGAAAATTTTTCAACTGTTCTATTTCAGTTCTGAAATTGTAGGTTGAATGATAAATCTAATCTTACATAACAAGAATATGATCAGGAGTATTTGAAGGCCATTTGCAAATAAAATGCTGGTAATTTCAGGTAGGATAGTCTTTCCCTACTTGCCTCCAGCCTGGCCAGTTTCACAGAAGCAGAGAATCCATTGACTCCAATAGTTTTTTATGGGCAATGAAACCATGATCTAATCCAGGGCCAGAGCAGTAAACAAGTGGTTTGGTGTTTGGACATGTAAGGTAACTACCTCAATTAAGGAATGCAGGTTGCCTTAAGGTGAGGTGAAGATGTCTCCTGGGTCCACTCAGGGACATCCTCACTCCGTGGTGGCAATGAGAACTTCAGCGAGCGGATGCTTTTCTCCCTAGGAGCAGGATAAGTTTGAGGCCCCATAAATCTTATTAGGTATTCTGTTCATTCTTCAGAGAAGTATCATGAGGGTTAATTATTTCTCTGCTCTGACTCAGACAGTGATTTTGTGCCAGAGGATTCTGGCAGTAACTATAATCCTAGTGATACCCTCAGTGAGGAAACCATTGTTAGTGATGTTGGTGGGGAAGTGCTAATGGAAGCTGAACCAGAGCCCGATATAGAAACTGAGAGACCTAAAGCAAACAAAGGAAAGAGGTTGGAAACCTGGCTGTTTTCAGCCTTCCACAGCAGATCTGATGAAAAATAACTCTTTGTCTTCTTTCCCCTTGCACCTCCCCATCCAAACTCAGACTGCAGAATGTCTCTCCTGGGGCTGAGCTGTGCTAGAGGGAGGGAGGGAGGAGCTGTGCTGCTCCAGTCCTAGTGTGCACTGGCATTCCCTAGGGAAGATGTGCAGCAAGGAGCAGGTTTCAAACAGAGTGTCTCCTCTGTAAAACTGGGTTGCCAGATGGGGGCTGAGGGCCTCGCTCTGCCCAGGCTCCAGCAAGGCATTGCTCCAGAGCCAGTTGGCACTGTGAATTATAAATACGTTGGCCATGTTACTCTATTTAGGACCGGTGCTCTGGAGTTAGATGAATGCATGAATAAAACATATTTTCCACACTGCTTTTCTCTCTCTCAGTATTTTGTAAACTCATGATAAAGACTGGGGATATTTACCTGCTTGTAACTGTGCTGAGGAGGGCAGAAGGGCTCCCTGCACCAGCACACAGACCTAAGCATAATTTAGTCCTTTAAGATTTTCCCTTGTCCCAAAGAGATTATTTTCCTCTCCTGGTCTCGTGTGGTTTCCAAGGCCCAGTTTAAACACATACAATGACATAGGATGGATAGCTATTTTCCATACATGGCCTTGTATGGTTGTTCAGCAGGAAGCATTCATTGCTTTAAGACAGTACTGAAAGGGGTTCTGTTCTGCTCTCCGAAAGAGAAGCAGGCAGGATTATCTTGGGTCACATCTTTCTTCTGTTAGTCAAATGGTGAAACCAGACATCTGAGTTGTTTCAGTCTGTGACCTTACCCTGTGCTTCCTGACAGATCTCACAGCTTTCAGTTGTCCCTAGTTTATATGCAGGATTCTTCAGTCCCCCTGGCAATCTGCATTCTTTCTCAAGCTTTTTCCTGGTATTTTGGGCCCTTGGGAGATCACAGCCTTGCCTTGGTTTGCTTAGCTAGCCACTCCCTTAGTCTGGATTCACTGCCTTAGTCTGGATCCCTCTGCTGAACAGTCTTAAAGGTATTCTTGGTCTTCTCTGATGTTTCTTGATGCTATTCGACCTGTACAGTGTTCTTTCAACTTGCATCCTTCCGGATGCCTCCAGAAGCAGCACAGCAGGCTCCAACATTTCCTGACACTGCAGCCCCTTATAGCAACCAGCAGCTTACACATTTGTCATTCAGCTCACAATCTGCTTCACTGTTTCTGGCACCTTACAGTTGCTCTCTCATTCCCTAACATGCTATAGCCTTCTTCAAGCTCAGCAGCTGCTCCAAGAAGGTTCCTAAGGCTGGGGAGCTTTTTTCTGAAAGCATTTTTCAGATTCTCCCTTATGCTCTCTAGCAATGAGTTGTTTAGTTGTTTTTGGTTTTTGGTTTGGTTTTTTTTTTTTTATTTTGTGATATGATGTGTTTTTCTTTGGCATATTTCTAATTGTTCATCATTTACCTTTATGGGTCCCTGATGTGCAACACCATGTGTTATTCACCATAAAACAGGGACGCTCTGACTTTCTTATTTCAAACATCCTTGTAGCTCTACCCAGCAGATGTAACCCTTCTAGATGTGATTGCATTCAGTAACATTCCCTCAGGTTAGCTGACTGGTTTTTGTGTCCCCAGAAATTCTCAGCCTTCTCTGGTTTTCTTCATCATCCTGAGGCTTGCATCTCACACCAGTGTGAGGTCTTCTCAGAGAACTCTGCCATGATGATGTGTCCTCTGATTTTCTGTATCACCCTGGGATGTTTCTTGACATATGTATCTTATTCAGCTTCCCTTCTGTCCCACAGCACTACACAGGCTTTTCCTACATCCTCAGCAACTTTCATGGTACTCTGATGTCCCCTGGCTGTTATCTGGCTCTCTTTGATCTTTCCCAGTTGAATCGAAGCACTCTCTTAATATCCCTCAATATATCCTCTATGATCTCCACAGACACCTCTGGCTTGCTAATGGTTATTTCCACGTTCTTTTTTAAGTTTGACTCAAAACAGTTTTGCTCATCTACAAACATTTGCAATCATGCAGCCAAAAAGGACTTTCTGGTAGAGTTCAAGCATTCATTTTGTTTCTCTGACAACATTTTCTTTAGGAAAATACACAGCTGTCCTAACAAATTTTGGGAACAGGAGATTGTCACTGCATTTGCAGAAATGTACAGGAGCAGTTTGAGGCTCTTTTACCAAAGGACTAAAATAAGGTGAGGATTATAGCATAATGAGCTTGCCCTGTGTGTAAAGACCCTGCAGCAAATAACATGGTCAGCACTCTTGAAAATTTGATCCATAGCTTCCATAAAGACAATTAGTGCCTTTGCTTCTCTTTGATAAAATCCATATCACTGTCCAATGCAAATCACCTGGTAATATTGGTAATGTACTTGCAATATTTGGGTTCTGTGGAAGATTAAACCATTGCTGTTCTTACATTAGACATTACTCATAATGACTGAAAAGAAAATCCTGAGTTGGACATGGGGAAGCAATTTATACTTGCCTGCTTGCAGGTCCCAAAACCTGCTTGGTGTTTAAAGTTTGCAAACAGAAAAAGAAACAGATGCTGAAGTTTATGAAGCTGTGATTTTGCTTTATTCTTGTATCACCTCTTGAAAATAAACAAGCGTGAAATAATACAGATTACATTGCTCATTAGCTATTTATGTTGCACCATCATCAATCATCTAGTATAATGTAAGCCAACAGCATCCATTCTACATGGATGCCAGTATAGACTGAATATTTCTCCTTCATAAAAATTCATAAAAATGCTCAAGTATGTTTCTATACTTTCACTCTTTCCTTGTCTCCAGTGCTTTGATTACAGTAAGAATCCTAAAATAAGTTCGTTCTTGTTGTCTTGTGCAAATATGTCCTGCACCCAATCCTGGTTTCCACTTACAAAAATTACAGAAAAATCCATGTGATATAAATCATATAGTAGTGCCTTACAGTTTTATTTAGGTTCCTTAGTCAACCATGCTTTTAGTTATCCCCAGCACTAGATGCCATGTTTAACAGTGCAAGGGCTAAATGCTTATGTGCTTACTTTATTTCCTTTACTGCCCAAGTTCTAAAGCAGTCAACAGAACTTTAAATATGGATTTATGACTGCTCACTTACCCCTGAACTGCAGGGGAGGGAGGATAAAAATGTTACTGAGTACAGTGGGGTCAATTTCTTTTTGCATGAAAGGGCTGTTTAGCAGAGGGGGAGGAAAGTGAACCTGGTGCCAGCTATTTTTGCACTGGCCAAGTCCTGCCATCAAAACTGTACAGGGGTTGTGCTAATTTAACTCTGCAGCAGGGTCAAGTTAAACTTCCAGATGTACACTTCTACAGACCTCTGCTCCTTCCCTTCCCCTCTATTCACTTCTGGGACAAATGCAGAAACTGTCTCAGCTGGCTGGACATCGTCACATGAAGGCTGTGATGGTTGTGACTTCTCTGGAGAACCTAATTCAGCGTCTGATCCAAGTTCAGTCATGGCCTCACTGGGTATAAATGGTATTTTTTAACATGAAACCTGAGCTGGACCTGGCAGCTTTTAAAATTTGTAGATTTGGGGGGGAAAGAAAACAAAAATATATTGAGTATAGTCTATATTATTTTGCATCTGATGGCTGTTTCTTTTATTGTTTTTCCTTGGTAGGAATTTCCATGGTGTGAAGGATTTCGCCGTGGGTGCAGACTGGGCATGAAAGGTCCTCTGGAGGTAATTTGGTCCTATCTCCATTCCAAGTGAGGCCATGTAGATGAGGTTGTTCTCTGATGATCCTTCCCTGAGAGATTGCCCATGGTGAAAGTAAAACCTTCAAGTTTAGATTAGGAAAGCAGTTTTTAAGCTTCTTGTGAGCTCAGATTGACCTCTCCTGAATAATTTGTCTTCCCAAGATTTTTCTGAGTGCAGCAGTTCTGCCCAGCCTAGGGAACAGCTTAAAATTCTGCTGATAGCAACAACTCAAATTCCTCCAAGGTGAGGGAGTGAGAATTGATCAGAGTTTACTTGTTTGATGTGTGAAGATCCTTTTCTTTGCCTTGGAAGAGCTGCACAGCAGTGAGCAGTTACATGAGCTTGCATAAGTACTTGCAGCCAGTTCCCATGCCCATATCCTGAAGGAAATGAGCAGCGTCTAGTAAGTAGATCAATTATGATTCTTTATTTTGTTTTTTACTATATATCTCTTTTCCTTTCAGAAATTTGCTTAACTTTATGGTTCATGCTTCTAAGTTAAGAAGGAAAATATTTTTTCTCTCTTACATGTTTTAGACTCCTGGTGATTCTGTGTGAATCCTTTTCATTGGGAAGGATACCCTGAACTGTCTTTGGTCTAGCATAAGATAAATAGAAGAAAGAGACAACTGGTTAACAAGCTGCTGGTTAACAAGGCATTGCAATACAGGCATTGCAAAATTAAGTTTACTATTGCTTTTCTTTGTAATTTTCCTGCTGGTTGATGTAACAGCATTACCTCTAGCAGTACTTGTTCTCTCTTTAGGCTCTGTATTGATATTTCTCCCAATAAGTGAGGAATCTATTTTTGCAAGCATCTTGTGACAACCGGCTCAAGTGACATAAGCCACTGAACAGCTATTGAACAAATCCAGGCTAGATTCAGAATAGGAAATTAGAGGGTGAAGTCTCCACATGCAAATAGCAGCAACAGATTCATCTGGACCAAATTTTTGTCCTTCAGCTTCTGCTTGGTGTGACAACTGCCCACTTAAAATAGCGTTGAAACGAAAAAGAAAGGAAGCTGTGTCAGTACTTTCAGTCCCACTGCGGAAGGTGTTGGTTCACCCCTAATGCATAATGCACAGCCTCTCCAAAATACACATCCCATCAGGTCCCAGGATCTGCAGTGCTATAAAGCAGCTTGAAAAAGAAAAGGAAGAATAACTTCTCCAAAGGCAGCTAAAGAGAGAAGTCTGAGAGAACCCTGGATATAATTACCTGAGCTGGAGTCCAGCCAAGAGAATGCTGAGCTAAGGAACAGTAAAGTCCTGACTCTGCACAAGGGATCCAGACAAATTTAAAAGAAACTGCAATAACAGAAGTGGGATTTGAGCATCTGGGAAGACGTTTGAGAGAGTGAATGAATACAAACTAAGGCCTCTAGGGAGTCTGATAGGAAAAAAAAAGAGCAAAATGAAATACAGTGTATAATGGTAATATATGTGGCACTGTCTTACACTCAGGGCTACCTGATAAAACTCTTTCTTCTCCATGATCTAAGAGATCTAACTTCTCTCAGTTAATTTACCTCCCTATACAAGCCAGACTACATGAACATGGATGGAAATGAGACACTATTGTGTTCTTAAATAGTGATGAATAAGAACTGAGTCAGACCTGACAAATATGTTAAATTTTTAACCAAGTACCAAATTAATTAGCCACCATTAATGGAAAGTTTGTGCAGGAAGAAGGATTTCTCTCTGTTCGGCTTCTCTGTTGTCTCCAGCTAAGGAGACCTAGTCTCTGCCCAGTAGTATTTTACCTTTAATACCAAATTTCTTAAAGGGTAGTTATTCTAACACTTGACCACTGTTTCTTGATAGGACTAGTATAATACAAACATTTAAATTTTCCTTCACTTTTTCCTCTTTTATAAACTTTCCTCTTCTACAAAGTCATCACAGCTCCACAATCAGCAAACCAGCATACCTGACAGAAGACTGATAAGGGTCTGCTTTTAACTGCCTTTCATTTTAAGATCCTATTCTTGGGGTGATTGTTTTTGTATTTGTTGGGAGCTTGAAGCATACCCAGGCAGCTACCATTGCTCACACAATGCCCAAAGCTCTTTGGTCCTTCCAAACTATTCTCATTCAGGCACCCCAAATGGTTTATAAGGTTTGTTAAAGAGATGTGGTTTTAAAAGGAAAGCAAATACAAAACTGGAGAGCTGATGGATTTGAGCAGGGAAGGTGGTCCAGAAGGCAATGGTAAAAAAAGGAAAAATAATAAAAATAAAAAAGGAAGGGCTGGAGGGAAGGTGGAACATGAGGAAATCCAAGTGGGGTAGTGTCTGGAATCTGAAACTGTGCATTCTTCCCACTGGCAGGTTTTTTCTTACTTTCCCTAAGCTATTCCTTTTTTCACATTTCTTTTTCCCCCTGGCTCATTTGTTTTATGCCAAGAGGCTTATTTATCTTTCCTGGCTTATTTGTAGTGCATCTGGATTTAGGCATCCTGGTAAATCAGTTCCTCTGAAGACTGTGATCTAAAAATGAATGTTGAGTTGGATTTTGAGCTAATTTAAACTGATATACATCTGACAAAGTGAAGTTTAGCCATGTAAAATTCCACTGCTTGAGCAAATGCATAAACAATGAACATTATTCCCCTTCAGTGTGTCAGAAAAAGATGCTGTCTTCTCCTTCCAAAAAGATTATTTTACATTTGAGACACATACCTATAAATGTCTGTATTTTGCAGTTTTGAAAATCTAAGCATGGAAATGTATTATGTTAAGTCATTCCACATGCTTCAAGAGATTGTCTTCTACTGAACACATTATTTTTGAGAAGAGCTAAACCTTTTATTAGTTTTATCTTCCTGAATGTATTGCCTTAATTGTGTGTCTTATTTGCTCTATAATATCATGTGTGCTTACTGTGCTTCAGCAGACAAACATAAGCTGGGGTCAAGCTCACACAACAGTCTGCAATTTTCAATACACTGCAGGATTTGGGATTTCATTAGTAATTTTTGGTTTTATTTTATTATTAAATACAGAATGAGAGCACCATGGAACTGATTCATCTTAGTCAATGTACTTATATGACTGGCTTGGAATTGAAAAAAATATATTTTAGTAACAACCTTGCTTCTGATCTTAGGGAAAGCACTGATGGGAATTAGTTAGCTGCTGTGACTTAGAGAAAAGGCACATAATTAGAATTCAAATTTTAATCTTGCTGCCTTTGAAAGTGAAACAAAATCAGTAACAATCTAAAATCATGTCCCTTTCTACTTTTTACTTCAGTCAGAGGAAGCCTGATTCCCACTAATGCCAAGAACATTACTCCATGTTGAGAGATGAGCTCTGGTGGATTTTGCTGCAGCAGCTACAGAAGTGGCTGCCTTGGCTTCCCACCTGCTGCTTTGCTGGAGGTTATTGCCACCAGGCAACCTTGGGTGTAAAGAGCGTATCACACCTCAGTTTCCTCATTTAAAGCCTGATTGTCTACTCACATTCGCCTTAGCTGAATTTTTGACTGGGTTTGCATTGATGTCTCTGCAGGGGTGGAAGAAAAGACTTCCTGCTGCCTCAAGTGGAAACCTCCTTCAGAAGGACAGGTTAGCTGTGGGTGGCAGCTCTTGACTGTACCACAGCAGTGCTCGTCTGGCAGAGTCAGCTCTGGTGTATGACAGCTGTGTGTCAACAGCAATTAGCCAAAAAACAAAAAAAAAGAAAGATTAGGGACTTCAGTGGCAAAATAAACAAAAATACACCTGTATGGTAATAAGAGGAAGGCAAAATGCATTAAGGTCCAAACAAGATACACATGGTGAGTAAAATGACATCTTTCTTTTCCAGCAGATATTTTTGTTGTCATATGCATGAGGGCCAAGTGCCACCACGCCAGTGGTGCTCAGGCCTTTGGTTATCTCTAAAGATAAGAAAATTACTCTTGGAATGAATGTGGCCTCCACTGGATCTACCGCCTGCCATTAGAGAAAAGAGCTACCAGAAACTTTCAACATTTGGAGTGGCATCCAGGCATGCCAGCCCTAACTAACTGTTCTTGCCCTGTAGACCTACTGGAGACATGTTTGGACATCTAATTATCTAATTAATTATTCACCTAAGTCCTGGCCATAAGCAAAACACATTTGTCCAGCAAACTGTGCAATCGCTCTGGGAACTGCTGAGCTCCTGCCTTTTCGTTCTGCTGTTGAAAATCAAATTATATAGCTTGAGCAACAGAACTGTAATTAGGGTCAGTAGAAAACTGTGGGTAGGATAATATTGTGGATTCTGCAATTTTTTGTCATGTTGCTCCATAATATGCCAGAAACCAGTAGTTTTATTGCTGGACAGTGCATTAACACTGTCCGTGACACATCCTCTGCTTCCTGCTGTGGAACTGGCCCTTCTGTGAGCCTGTTGCCAAGGCTGGCCTCAATTTACAATAATTCACAACTCCTCCTGGAATTCATGGCAAAGCTCTTGTTAACTCCTCTAGGAGCTGGACAGGTCTAGGCATGGAAAATAGGGATGGATAAGGAAGATGGTGGAGTAGAGCTGAGGAGAAAAGAAAGCAGGCTATGTTGTTTCATTATAATCTCCTCAGTTATCACTGGCTGTCATACTGATACCACCAGGAGGCTTTTCCATGGATTAAAATTGCGTTATAACTAAAAGTTAATTCTTCAGTTCTTGTTTTTCTGTTCTCCATCACACTCAGAAAATCTCTGCTCTAGGCTATTGCTGCTTCTGCCTCTGGGCTCTTAAGGTCCTCCTTTTTCTCCTTGGATTTTCTTTTCCTAGCCCCTCATCTTTCCTGCACATCTTTATTCCAGCTGTTTCCAGATCTCTCCTCTTGGGGGGCTCCATTCTCTCCACTTGCACCATTCCAACCCCCAAAATAGTCAGCTGTGGGCAGGCTAACAACTGACTGTGATGTGTCATTGCTGGCCCTTTCAGCCAGGAGAATACACCTCTTGAGATCATTCTTTCAGGATGTCAGCAAATTCAGGCAAACGTTACAAGACTGATATCATAATTGGAAGGCTGCCTAGGATCAGTTTTTATAGGGGAAAAAAAAAATTAACTCTTGTGACTGTCCTGGTGGTCTGAAGACGTAATACAGGTTTAAATAATTATTAAGATAATTGATTAATTAATTAAGATCCAAGCTTCATTTCTTGTGACAGGAGAGAGAAATAAAAATTAAGAAGGAAAAAAAAGAGCTAATTGTGGAAAAGAAGCACAGAAACAGAAGAGGTGGAAAGAAAAAGACTGATGAAGAAATATAGAATGCTTTCAATTTTGTTGAAAAAGTGTGAAAAAAAATAGAAATAAAAGCCCAAGAAGCAAAGAAAAAATAAGAAGAGGAAGAGTAGGAAGAACAGCGAGATAAGCTGGGGGTTGGTTGAATTCTATTTGAGCACTGTGGTGAAAAGTTCCAGCTATGGAATTATAGTCCAGATTCTTCAGATTGTGAAGAGACTGGATCTCTGACTTAGGGACTATCACTACTCAAACACTTCCCAAGAATTAAAGGCTGAAGTAACTGTGGAGCACCAGAGGACTTGGAGGAATCTCTGCACTAGGTGTAAGAAATAGATTGGATAAAAATGGAATTGCTCAGGGCAGATGAGAAACAGTTGAGCTCCGATTGTTGCATTCCTGTACTTCCTGCTTTCTGAAGGCAGTGACATTACAAGTTCCCTTCACACTACTTTATGTGTGTATATATATACACAAACACATGCATATCAAAGAATTTCTTAGCTTTTTAAGGAAAGAAAGTTGATTTCCTTTCACGTTACTATATTCCATTTGTTTTATTGGAAGGAATTCCAGATCCACAGATTGAAGCAGAGGTTCACAGACAACTCTCACTGTGCAGCAGTGTATCACCCCTGTGCAGGCTGCAAGGAGAAAAGGTGTCTATTATTTTTAGTAGATCTCAGTAGGAAAAACTGAAAAATGTGCAAGTCAGAAATTTTGGGTTCTATTCCAGATTCTGGGAGGAACCCATCTAGACACAATGTCAGCTCTTAACACAACTCTGAAGTGTTCAACTCCTAGTTTTACTCTAGCTTTTCCTTCTTACACTCCTGATTTAGCACTTTTAGCCTTACATCTCCTTGTCTCCATCCTTGTTTCTCAGTCTCCTTTCAGCTTCAGGTTTTAGTCCCCACCATTGCCATATTCCAGCTGCCAGGAGCTCCTTCTTCTACTCCTCATCCTAGGCTCCCTTGCTTCCAAGCTCTGTGATATTTCAGGTACCCCAAATACCTTGTCACAGGGCTGCTTCCCTTGCATTTTCACCCTGCTCTCTGTCACAGCACACAGGTTTAATCCAAGCCTGCCCATTCTTTACTGAATGGCTGAAAAGAAATTGTCAGAGCCTTGTGAAAGGAACAGCAAAAGTTGCCTCCTTGATATCAGCATTTGTGATCCGTCCCTCCTTCAGGGTAAGGACGTGAATGTTTTTAAGGCAAAAAAAAAGTATCCTTCATTTTTCCTTGGGTTACTTGGGCTAGAATTATCCCAGAGTATTGAGATGAGATGAACATCTACAAAAGTGTAACTTTTAGCTGTCATCGTTAGTACTTGCTAAAGTTGGAATACTGTAATTCAGTAAGAAAACAGTGAATTAAATGGAGAGTGCAAGAACCTCAGCTACAGGAAGCCTTATCTTTATTATCCATAATGTCACAACCTCCTTTACAAAGTGGCTACATCTGCTTTGAAAATTGCAATCAAAGACCTCAGTTCACATTAAACACATTTACAGGCTCTCAGACTTCCTAGGATGGGGAAATTATCACCATGAAGGCAGAAATGGAGACATAGAGGCATCGCACGGTGTTTTCAGAGTGCCACAGGGGGCAGGAGGGAGAAACAGATCCCACATTACCTTCAATTCCTGTTGTAACCTAAGTATCGTAATTATCTCCCCATGGTGTCAGTGGATTCAAGGAATTCACAGTGACTGAGGCATAGTGAGTGCACTCCAGGTGTGCCAGAGAAGGCAGGAATCAGTGAGATGGTCTTGTGCTGTATGCCAGAGAAACACAAGCACTTCTTTTCCCAAAGAAGTTAATTATCTAGGAAGCTGTTTGCTGTTGTATCACTTATGCCAACAGTTAATTCACGACAGGGCCTAACCTACTCAAAAATCCTTATGACTTGCAGGATCATGGCTTGAGAAATGATGTTAAAGCATTAAAGTTTTTTGCTGACTCCACCATGCCAGCTTATTTATCATATAGCACATGACCACGGCTGTCACTGATTTACATATGAAACATGAGAGGTTTTTCTCCTTAGATCCTGATGTCCCAAGGCTATGCATGTGTACTTAAACCATATGTAAAAGAGAGGAGCTCTGTTTTCCTAGTGTGAGAAGGAAATTGTTCTACTGTGAGACATACGTCATCCCTTTGCCTTTGTTCCCAAACATGGTAAAGAGCAATAAAGCTGTTTGTGGACTATAATGTGACGTCGAATAAGAACACGGAGTTCCCATTTTTTTATGCTTTATGTATATAACAATGTAGTGTGGGCATCCAGAGAATGAATGGTTATGAAATACTGCACAGCAGCAATGTATAAAAGGTAAATGACACACAGCAAAGGAATCTCCCTTCAAATCACATAGCACATGAAACCATTTTGGTCTGTGACAACTACACCACTAGATTTTTTCCATGTTTATCCAAAGTAGCTTAGTAAGCATAACATGCATGCCATTCACTAAGTCTGTGCACCAAAATACAGAGTATGATGACCCCAAGCAATGTCTCCAGTGTTTGTAAGATTGCCAGAAAGGGGGACTGGCTGCCTGCTACCTCTGTTAAGTATCTATTTCAATTAATTTTTGTGAGAGAAGTGACAAAAATAGCTCTCACTCTACTACAGCTATTCAGCTGTTATTTCGGTGGAATTACACCTGTGTAAATTTCTTAGAGGTAGGAGTTGTGCACATGTTCTGTGAGCTAATGAGGCTTCAGAAATGGTTGTCAAGAATGGCACAAGACATATCTATTATTTTTGATTCAGAACGAACCCATTTATCTTTTCTCTTTGCTAAAAAGGGCAATTTCAGGGTTTTTCTGGTGACTGAAAGAAAAAAGTAATGCTAGATGCAGGCTTCCTTCTGTCCCATATGTCTTAAGTGTACAATGCTTTTTTTAGAGAATAGCTTTCTTTCAGGGCAAACCAGTTCTTACTAAAAATAATTCTTATGAGATCAGATAAAATGAGAGGAATGTTGTTGGCAGATCCTGATGCCTTATTTACTAAAAAAAAAAATAAATAAAAAAAAGGGCTAAATCAGCCTAATCCAGGCCTGTAATACAAGGAGAGAGCTGAAGAACCTTCCCTGTTCTCCAGGACTGTGGTTGACAGCTCGAGAGCTATTTTGGTGGCTGTGGTCAGAGGATGCAAAGTCCCTGGACAGTCATCTCCACCAGTCTGCCTTAATCCTTGGGAATGCCCCATGGAGCCACAAATGGCCACATGCTGGGGCTTTTGGAAAGGCACAAGGACAAGCTGCATGCTCAGCTGGGGGCCTGCAAACACGAAGCACAGCAGCATCTCTCAGATTGGTCACACCTTCCTAGATATGCATCTGTTTAATGATAAACATTCAGGTCTAGCAGTGACAGAGCTCGGAATACAGCAAGGACTGGCTACCTGGTGATTCTCCCTCCAGCAGGTCTTGAGATCACACCCAGTATGAAAGTCAAACTTAGATGACTTTTTGGTGTTAATGTGCTCTTGGCTTTGAACTTCACAGTTCTGTCTCCTCTTCCTTCATACCAACATCATCTGTCAAGCCTATAGTACTGAACAGTGCCAGACCCCTGCTAATTTCTGGTGTTGTGTATAATTTTCCATCTTTTTAGCCCATTTTTGAGGTAGACAGCAAGCCCCTGAGGCAGGGACTTGCGTCATCTATTAAAAAAACCTCAGTAATTATTTATGATTCGTTTGTTGCAGCATTTGCGTACATTATTTAATAACAGATATGGACTGCAAGTGTTGAGAAGACAAAAAGATTTATGTTGTCAGGCAGACAGAAAGTGATTTTAAAGACTTCACATGTTGTCAAATACCTAACATGTGTGGATAAGTGTGGATTACTGCACGTCTAAATTCAAATCAAGCCAAAGCAAACCAGTTGCCTTTTCATTGCGTAAATATTTGTTCACACAAAGCATTGTGAACTGGTTATCTACAGTTACTTGAACTGCATCAAACAAGCTGACATGGAACTGTTTGGCCTGGTTTTACATCTACCTATCCTTACTCTTTTTTTAAAAGCAAAATGGAAAGGTCTGAGATGGGTTGGGGTCTTTTTCTTCAAATAAAGCATTTCCTTATAAAGGATTAACTGGCTGAATGTGTTAAAAAAGTTTCCCTGAAACAGGTTAATTTTATTTTCGAACCCTAAGAAGAATGCCAGGATCCAGTTGTTCATTTATAATTCAGCACTAAGCTAAAGAAACAAGGACAGAAAATGCAAAGTTGTAAATCACACTTGCAGCCACGGAACAATATAATGCTGAGCAGCCATTTTAAGTTTTTGGTTGCTTTATACCCTTTCCACATAATGAAGCCTGTTAAATGAATCCTTATGGGAATTGTTCTCAAGGTTTGTGTTTTGTACATGAAATTCCAAGTACAAGAGTTTAATTTTGTGAAGTAAATGGTCTGTATTCTGTAAAAATTAGTTCAATGTACTCTTTTTTTGAAAAGGCTTCTTGCTTTCTAGATATAACAGCTTTATCCTTTTAATAAAATGTAAACCCAATGTCTTGGGGAAAAAAAAAATCAGTGGAATTATTTCTGTCAGAGGGAGTAAAGGTGGCAACTGCAAATCCTGGTGTATTTTACTCAGAAGAATTCCTAGATGGTCTATAGCTAAATACATGGACCAGGATCCTCCCTTCTCTATTAGGGAAATCTCAGAAATAAATAATCTGTTGCTGTTTCGTTTCAGTCTTCAAAGTGAAGCCCTAACAGTGGATGTAGTAGAGGCTCTACTCAGTAAATGTGTGTAATTCCAGCCCGCTTTTTTTCCTAATGCTTATTTGATGAAATTACCACACTCTTCCCAAAATTTGCTTGTGGACAGATGAATTATTTTTCTCAGTGAGAAATAATCCAGGTGTCAAATCAACCCCAAAGGTTGTACATTCATTATTTCTATTTAAGTCAATTAGAACAGTGCAGATGTCTCTTCT